CTGGCTAATAGCCTTTTATGGCCCTAACCTCCATGAAATTATCTAGCTTCTCTTTAAACTCTATTATAGTCCTAGCCTTCACAGCCTCCTCTGGCAAGGAGTTCCACAGGTTGACTACACGCTGTGTGAAGAAGAACTTTCTTTTATTAGTTTTAAACCTGCTACCTATTAATTTCATTTAGTGTCCTCTAGTTCTTCTATTTAGGGAACTAATAAATAACTTTTCTTTATCGGCCCTCTCCACACCACTCATGATTTTATATACCTCTATCATATCCCCCCTCAGTCTCCTCTTTTCTAAACTGAAAAGTCCCAGTCGCTTTAACCTCTCCTCATATGGGACCCGTTCCAAACCCCTAATCATTTTAGTTGCCCTTTTCTGAACCCTTTCCAAGGCCAAAATATCTTTTTTGAGGTGAGGAGACCACATCTGTACACAATATTCAAGATGTGGGCATACCATAGTTTTATATAGTGGCAGTAAGATATTTTGCGTCTTATTTTCTATCCCTTTCCTAATAATTCCTAGCAACCTATTTGCCTTTTTGACCGCCGCTGCACACTGCGTGGAAGTTTTCAGAGAACTGTCCACGATATGCTCTATGAAAACATGTTCAAGTGTCATAGCTCAGATATGCTTATGCAAAATGGCTCACGTAATATGCCATTGGAAAGGTAGTAATTTACAGAATGTGTTTATACTTTTTCTATGGATGTATCATTTCTGTCTCTGAAGTTAGAAATATTAACGACACATTTATTATCAATATCTTCATATTAGGAAAAGCTTATTACCAGCCTCTCAGATACAACAATGAAGCCAGACACAGAGCTAATGACCCATTAGCAGGAGACAATGAACTGTGCAAGAACTTACTTTTCCTGTAAGCTTGAGAGGATCAGCATGTAAGAAATAGCTATGGGCTCTGCAACATTTGACCATGTTACCTGATGCTGGAATCCATCTTGGATTCTGTACTTTTCCACAAGAAGGGAAGGGTGAGGGTCAAGTTTGGAAGACAAAGGATTCCTGCCTTGAAGAAAATTCTATTTAAGAGTGGAGAGTGAGGTAATGCTGGTTGTCAGTTCTCCCCTGGAATCTCTCCCAAGATGACTGCTGGAAACAACTAAAATTAAACAGGGGGAGGAACTGGGCTCTGCCTGAAAGGATGTCTGGTCTGTGAATTAGAACATCTTTTAGGCCGGGTGAGATATCACATGTTTATTTAGTGTAGCAAGCTTAGTTTGTATGTTCTAGTTTGCTCAGTGATCTACTTGGTTTTGTGAGGAATTTCTTATGACCACTTACATCCTCCCATTAATATTTAATACAATCACTTTTGCTTATTAATAAACCCAGTATCAATAATTGTTGCCAGGAGTGGAAGGGCGCAAGGAGCCTGTGCATTTCTCTTTACATTGAGAAAGAGGGTAAATTTCCATGAGCTTACTCTATGGAAATCTATATGGTATAAAACAGATTTATCTGGAATTCACCTCCCAGAGGGTCTGTGTACCTGAGTGCTGAGGCTTTGTCCCTCACTAATACAGTCTGTCAGTATTACAAGCAGAGAGGCATGGCCCCTCCCTGTGTCTGGGCTGAAGCAGGCTGGAGAGCAAGACAGGGTTTCAAGGTGCCAAGGCTGTCAGGGAAAGCAGGCTCAGTGTGATCCCAGCACATCTGGTGACAGATCCAAAGGGATCCTGACCCATCACACAGATTAATGAAGGTCCCTTGTTTGAAGGAAGGCCTGCTGCTTTCATTACTTTATGACGGCCCCAGAAAGGGCAGATTCCCATGGAACCCAGGTAAAGGCCTGAGTCTCCCACACTCCCAATAGACTGGTGCTGATGACTACCTATGTGCTGAGGATTGGATGCCTGTTGAGTGCAGTACACGTGGCAAGGGGGTTTTGAAGGAAAACACACCCAAGTCACAGACCTTGAATTCAATGGGCATTTTGTTACTGATTTCAATGAGAATATGAGAAGACTCCATCTTCAAGACAAAAACAAAAAACAAACAAACACCAGAATTATTTATAAACTTACGTAACAATGGAAACTGAACATGTAGTAAAGAGACTGAAATCTGCAGCACTGCAGTCTGGGTCACAACAGCAATTTATATCACACTGTGCCACCAAGAGGTCACAAACACACAATGAAGCAACTAGAGAAAGGAAAATTTAAAATAAAATTAGGAATGAATTCTAAAGCATAGTATAACAAAATATCCTTTATATTTTTGCTTTTTCCTTCTTTAACCGTAATTAAACATTTGTATCTAAATCCTAAGGTGGTGGTGTTTATAAAGCCATGTTTTATTATTTAAGATACACATTTTCTCAAGCAGTAATCATAACATGAGCAACTCACAAAAACAAGTGCATGCTAGAAACCTGAATCCGTAGGAATCCAAAACTCCTAACAAAATCAAATGAAGATATCAAAAAAATATGATCAGTACCCAAAATTAATATAAGTCATATGAGTAAATATTAGGGATATAAATGTTTAATCAGTAGGGCTAAAGCAGCCCTCCACCTGCAGCAGGCAGCTCTATCTCGCAGGGCCCACCTGTGTGGGGGGCATTCCAGTCCAGCCAGGGCAGCAGAGTAGCAGTGCTCCAGGCCAGGGTAGGGATAGCCCCACCATGGGTAGGAGTGCTCCAGCCCTGCCAGCACCTCGTTTAATTGGTTAACCAGTTAAACATAACTTAAACATAACTTTTAACTTGTCAACTAATTAAACATGATTAACTTTTAACTTGTTGACTAATTATTGCCCAGTTGGGCAATACCTGGCCTGTAAGCTGGATGTAACTTGCCATGGCTAGCCTCTGGCAGGCCACCAGACACTTATTTATTTGTGTGTCCACAGTTATGGCCACTTGCAGCTCCCACTGACTGTGGTTTGCTATTTCAGCCCTAGGAACTGTGGGAAGAGGTGCAGGCCATTCAATGGTAGCTGCAAGTAGCCATACCTGTGGACATGCAGGTAAATAAAGCATCTGAAGCCCTCCAGGGACAAATCCTGGTGAACGGCCCATGGACCGTTTATTGCCCATCCCTTGTTTAGAGTCTAACACGATAAAAATAAAACATTTTATTATAATTTTCACACAATTCCTAAAACAAAATATGTTCCAGGTTTAGTAATATCATCTTTTCCTGATGTTTCAATATGAGTTGATTTATTTAAAAAAATGCATTTTCTTTCTGTCTTGCCTCTTCTTTCCATATAATCTTTGTAGATTTATCTTAAAAATTCTTTTACTTTCAAGATTTAACATTCAAAGATGAATTCCAATCATCAGGCAGGCCACTATACTAGGGATGTTAGATAGCATGTAATTGAATAGTCATGTAACTGCATCAAATTTTAGTGGTTACACAACTATTAGATAGTCCCCGGGGGCTGGGCACTCATGGCCCCATTCCTGGGGAACTCTCTGCCACCTCCTCTCTATCAGAGGCAGTAAGGCAGGATGGCAGGCAGCAGCCAGCCCGTAAGGGGAGCCTGTTTAAAAGACAGGTTCCTGCGCAGATCGGCTTCTGCCTGCTCTCCCACACTGCTGCAGCGCAGGTTAGCAAAGAGATGTAATAGTGTAGTCAATTAACCAATAAGCAAAAGCTTATAGATTAATGCTATAGAGTACACTCTCCCATGCCACCCTTGCCAGTAATTTTTTTAGCAGACTGGCCAGCAGTCCAGCTCAGTCCTGGCTTGCGATGGATCTGGGCAGCAGCACAGAATGACAGGCAGCCAGTCCATGAGGGGAGCTTGTTTTTAAACTGGCTCTCCTTGCAGACCAGCTCATGCCTGGTACCCCCACACTGCTGCCTCTGATAGAGAGACAGCAGCTCAGAATGGAAGAGGACTCCTCAGGAGTGAAGCTGGAGTACACTGGCTGCTGGCCCTACCCCCAGGGACTATAGAATAGTCGACTAACCAATAAGAATTCATGAGTTTATTCAATTATTCAATTAACTGATATTTAACATTCCTAGGTGGCAATAGTCGCTGTCCCTGAGGGGTCTGAGCTCCACGCAGACAGAGGCTGCTCTGCAGCAACAGCCCCTGCTCAGGAGTGAAGCTGGAGTACACTGGCTGCTGGCCCTACCCCCAGGGACTATAGAATAGTCGACTAACCAATAAGAATTCATGAGTTTATTCAATTATTCAATTAACTGATATTTAACATTCCTAGGTGGCAATAGTCGCTGTCCCTGAGGGGTCTGAGCTCCACGCAGACAGAGGCTGCTCTGCAGCAACAGCCCCTG